TTTTAGTATCATATTTTTAACCCTTCTGTGGTAGGGTAAACTTGTCGGCATGTCATAGACCTATACGTTATATCTTACTTGGAAAAGCTTCATCTTTTCTGCATTTCACCCATCTCTGTACCTAATATATTATGCATAATCGTCTATGGTGTTGGGATTTCACCGGCTTGAGTTCAACAATGTCGGATCTACACATAAATTTCTACTTAAGCTGCAAATGCTGCATACACCACGTTCATGTACCTGTTATGGATGGCGTACCCCTCTGTGGTGTTGGAAGTTTGTCGGCTCATTTGAAGTGAAAAATGTATCTATTCGGCATTCTAACTACTTTGAGAAGTTGTATGAATGCTGCATTCTTGAGCAGTTATGCAAGTATTATCTATCGATCTGCGATGTTGGCGAATAGTCAGCTTGACCTAAGTGTTAGGTAGATCTACTCATTACTATATAGTACAAGCTTCAATTGCTGCATACTATACATCTATGCACCTTCTATAGAAAACAGTCTCGCTCTGTGGTATTGGTAAACAATCAGCTTGACCTAAGCGTTAGGTAGAGCTTCTCAATACTATATAATACAAGCATCAATTGCTATATATTATACATCTATGCGCCTTCTATAAGAAAGAGTAACCCTCTGCGGTGCTGGTAAACAGTCAGCTTGACCGGAGCGTTAGGTAGAGATTCTCATTACTATTTAATACAAGCTTCAATTGCTGCAGATTATACATCTATGCGTCTTCTATAAGAAAGAGATTTAGTCATCTTGGCTTAAGCGGTAGGTAGATCTACTCATTACTATATAATACAGGCTTCAATTGCTGCATGCAATATATTTATGTGTCTTTTATAAGGAAGAGCAGCCCCCTGTGGTGCTGGTATGTAGTCAGCTTGATCTATTAAAGTGATAGGTGGATCTACTCATTACAATACAACACCAGCTTAACTTGTCTGTATATAATATATATGTACGCCTTTTATAAGAAAGATCAACCCTCTGTGGTGGGGGTAGATAGTCTGCTTGAGCTAAGCGAAATTAAGATCTACTCAATACCCTCTCCACCAAAGGTTTGCAGCATCTTTAGGCTGTTTATCTCTCTCGACCGTCTTGGGAATTTGTTGACTTAACTTAAGCCATATGCGGTTACAGGTTAATTGAACAGATGAGTATCGGTAGCATGGACTATAACAAATACATCCATACAGTTCTGCAATCGACGTGTATGATTTGTAACGTTTACCTATACACACGGTATTATTACTGGCAAAGATATAACGAAACATGTTTTTATTTAGGAACTGTCTGTAAAGGAAGAAATATGCGAATAGAATATAGCAGATGTATACACCGACGCATACGGCTAGCTAGTAGGCCATTGACGGTGTCATTCTAAAATATGAGCCGTCAGTGAATCAACAGAAGTTTACGAACATGAGACTTGTGGGTGCAGTATATTTTGTCATGATAGTTTGCCAGAGTTACTTTTGTTTGTGGTCGATGCCTCAGACATCGCCCGTATAGGCGTAGTTGTCAATATCCTCTGAGTCTACCATGTCGAAAACNTTAGATGCACAAGCATATATG